TAAAATCCACCAAGAAGGATCATTCAAATCTGTATTCTTCTCCAACACTCTAAAAATAAGAACATCTAACAATGACCCCACAAGCGCTGTGCCAGACACTGCTTATCTGGGGCAAATGGGAGCCCATTTTATCACCTCCTCAACCCTCCATGGTAAAAGCAATTATTTTTATTACTACCACTTTATAGATGAGGAAAGGAGAGGACTAAAGGTGTTAGGGAACTTGCCCAGGGTCATATAGTCAGCTAGCAAAGGGGAGTTGTTGTTGTTAGGTATTGAGTCAGTTTGACTGGATTATGGCTAAACCCAGCAGAAAGATTTTAAAGCCTGTGCTCTTAACCACACTCTGCACTGCTTCTCCAGTCGCCAGCCTCTCAGACCTAAAACTATTGCAGTAGTCTCTTCACTGAACTTCCCATGTCCACTCTGACACATCTCTGCTTCTTTCTCATTGCAAGTGAGAGATCTTTACACAATGCTTAGAGGCAGCCCATCTTAACTTCTGCCTTTTTTCCATAGATTCCGTTACTCTTAGCCTAAAGATAACAAGGTCTACATATGGAGCCCTGGTGGTGCAGTGGTTAAGTGTTCAACTGCTAACCAAAAGGTCAGCAGTTTGAATCCACTGGCCACTCCTTGGAAACCCTATGGGGCAGTTCTACTCTGTCCTGCAGGGCTGCTATGAGTCAGAATTACCTGGAAGGCAATGGGTTTGTTTTTTTGTTTTGTTTTGTTTTGTTTATCCAGACTCAAGGAGTCTCTGAGTGGTGAAAACAGTTAGCTCAGCTGCTAACCAAACAATTGGAGGTTTGAGTCCACCCAGAGGTTCCTCGAAAGAAAGACTTGGGGATTTAATACCAAAAAATCAGCCATTGAAAACACTATGGAGCACAGTTCTACTCTGACACACATAGGGTCGCCATGAGTTAGAGTCAACTATACAGCAACTGTTTGGATTTTTTTATCGAGACTTATCTCACACATTCTTCCCTCTCAGGGTGGGGAAGTGGGGGTCTGTCCCTTTGCCATATTCAATTAGTTCAATTCTCCTCCTCTTTTACATCTCACGCTTTTCTGATAACCCTGATGAGGTAAAAAGCCCCTATTACAGGTTATCATACATGGTGACATTTCCTGCTTTTCAAGTGTGATAATTAAATATTTTAGGTTTGTTTTGATTATACATGTAAACAAACATAATACATTTTTAAGGTATGTAAATAAGCATTTGCTTATATTATTAGCTGCTGATATTATTTGATTAATGTCTGTCTTCCCTGCTAGTGTGTAAGTCCACAAGGACAGGATCCTCATCTGCTTTTGTCCACCACTGCATCCTCCGTGGGGAGCACATCCTGGACACACAATACATTTTTGTCCAATGAATGAATGACAGATTCAGTTATGGATTTTTTTGACTCAGGATAGCTAGAACTTAGTTACTGATATAACAACATGAAGAAAGAGCAATAAACAGTTTTTCCTTTGAATGTTAAACATTTGTAAGAAATTTTACACATAAAATTATTTGTGTAAGTTACACATAAAATTATTTGTATCTGTTTAAGTCCCTGCTTTCAAGTCTTTTGGGTGTATACCTAGCAGTGGGATTGCTGGATCACATGGTAGTTCTATGTCTGACTATATGAGGAATTGTCCAAATTATTTTCCATAGCAACTACATTATTTTACATTTCTACCAGGAATGAAAAAAAACTGAAATTTCTCCAAATCCTCATCGTCACTTATTTTTTGTTTTGTTTTGTTTGATAATAGCCATCCTGCAGATATGAAGTGGTATCTCATTGTGAATTTGATTTACATTTCCATAACAATTAATGAGGAGCTCTGGTGGTGCAGTGGTTAAGAGCTCTACTGCTAACTGAAAGGTCAGCTGTTTGAACCTACCAGTCTCTCTGCAGGAGAAAGATGTGGTAGTCTGCTTCCGTAAAGATTACAGCCTTGCAAACCCTATGGGGCAGTTCTACTCTGTCCTATAGGGTTGTTATGAGTCGGAAAGACTTGATGGCAATGAGGATTATGGGATTAGATATCTCAAAACCTGAGTTTGTACTTAGTTCAGAACTCAGCCATGTCATCTCTAATTAAATTGATTAAAAAAAGGTATTTCAGTCATGCACCTCACACGTAAACCTCAGCTTGCATGTGTTCACTGGTTGTTGTCTAAGGTGTGGGCAAATAATTGGTGGGTAACAGCCTCAACACATTTCCTACATGACATTAATTCTAAATATCTAGCTTCTTCTTTTCTGCCTTTGGGGCTTGCCCCATTCACAAACTACACTGCCTTCTCCACTCCTGGGTCCCATTTACTTTGTATTTCCATGCATTTCTATCCTGTGAGCAGATTATCACCTCTGCTCTGAGTAAGGATCGTCACTTATTCATCATTTTAGGGCAAGCAATAAGAGGTAAAAGAAAAAAAAAAAGAATGCTTTGTCACCTGACAAAGGAGAGATTGAATTCCACAATAATGGGTTCTTGACATAGGAAACGTCTTCACGTCACATCTCTGATCCCTGACAGTGATTTAGAAAAGAAGGATTTTTCAAATTACTTTTAATAAGAGACTATTGAGCTTGTTTGGGAGTCCATAAAATATGGGCACATGAGGTAGAATCAGACAGACCTGGACTTGCTTTCTGGTTCTGCCACTTTCTGTGCTACAGGGCAAGTTACCAATGAAATTTTATACATACTTCTGTCGTCTGTAAAATGGGGAACAGAAAAATGACTGCAAGCTTTTAAACCTGGAATTTAGTATACTACAAATACTCAATAGACATTAGAAACTGTTTATTATTATTAGTTGTTTGAAGACGGAAAAGTGCTAGTTATTTTGTCAGTGCAAAATTGGCATTTTAATTAGTCGAGCAACTTGCTTAAGAACTGGAATGCACTTGGTACAGGAAAACGGTTCAGCTTTCTTCCATCTGCCAGTCTGGCCCCCTGAATTCTATTGTTTCCACAAATTCCATTGCTAAATCTCCTCACACATACTGTTCCAGAAGTATCTAGCAACGTTTTCCCCCCTTGGAATTTTTCTGAAGGAATTTCAACTTCCTGATTTCTTCTGAACCTTAGATAATTATGTTAAAGAGCACACAGAAAAGGGCAGGAACTGCATTAATAAGTCAGCCATACAATAGTCACCTCATGAATAGGAAAGTCCACAACTTTAGCATTCCTTAAAGAAGGGGAGGGAACAGAAGGGGAGAAAAAGAAGAGTGCATTTGGGTGGTAGGAAGTGGGAGGAGACTTTTAAAAGAGCAATCTTGGGCCAGTGGCCATTTCTGAAGTAAGGATTTTCTTTTTATCAGTCTCAACTTTCTGACTATGGAGAATGCAAAGGGCAAGGAGGTAAATACAGTCGTAATGGGTTTGTTTCTGTCTTTGTTCTTTTTGTGTTTCCTTCTCCCTGAGCACCGTGATCCTTCTTTTGAGAAGACTTTGCCTTAGAATTTCTTTCTTACTACTGGTTAAAAATAAATAAACGCTCCAGATGTGATTGCAGCTCGGTATGTTGGAGAGAAAGGAGCCCTGGTGGTGCAGTGTTAGAGCGCTTGGCTGCTGCTAACCAAGAGGTCGGCAGTTTGAACCCACCAGCCGCTCCAAGGGAGAAAGATGTGGCAGTCTACTTCCGTAAAGATTACAGCCTTGGGAACCCTATAGGGCAGCTCTGCTCTGTCCTATAGAGTCACTGTGAGTCAGCATCGACTCGATAGCAATGGCTTTGGTTTTTTGTATGCTGGAGTGAGGAGATAAATAAGAACGGGAGTTTCTGTTTTAATCTGAAGAGAAGTTTTATCTTGTCAGAAGAATAGATCGTCAGGGCTGGAGGGAAATGGTAAAAGGAGGAAAAAGGAGAGGAAGGTTTGAGGTGAGATTTAGGAAAGACCATGATCCCTTTAATCCCCGTAGACGCAGGCGCTAAACTAGAGGTGCTGGGTCTGAACTCCCGGCCTTTCCGAAGGCCCTTAGGGCCAAGGACTGGTCAGAAGCCTGGCCCACATGGAAGGAGTGCCACAGACAGAAACCAAAGGTGGAGAGGCTTTGTGCCTTGTTCCAGACGCGCTGAACTAACGCTCTGGGAAAACTGAGGGTTCTCAGGGCCTCTTCTCCCTTTTCTATAACAAGGTCGTTTTGCCCTCTCAATTTTAAGACTTGTGTGAGGTCCAAAAGTGGGTACTTTGTGCAAGAGGTATGCAAATATAAAATGCAAATACACAGGTGGACCTGCTATACAGATGTAAAATGCCATACAAATGCTAATTTGTCCTGTACTCCTGCCTTGGGGGTGATAGAAAGGACTCAGATTTGGGAGCAAACTGACCTGGGATTTAATTTTTATCTAACAAGCCTATCTGTGTGTCCTTAGTCATCTGAAAGTAATAAATTGTTGCCAGATTGCTGAGGATTAATGAAAGAAAATAAAGGAACGTGTCGAACTCAGTATCTGATAACAGGCTCAGTAAATGTTTATCTGCATTGGACAGTTTTATCCTCACTGCCTCTTCATTTCTTTAGATGCAGTTAGCCAATTTATTAAGTGCCTACTTAATAAGGGGGGGAAATTCTACCCTTGTGGAGTTTACAATCAAGTGGAGAAATGCACATTGATAAAATCACACAAGCAAATGTGAAATTGCAACTAAAGGGGTGGGAATGAGACAATGTTTAGTAGCCTTAGTCTGTAAGCACAAGAAAAACCAAACCCCTTGGCTTCGAGTCTTTCCAACTCATAGCTACCCTATAGGACAGAGTAGAACTACTCCCATAGGGTTTCCAAGGCTGTAAATCTTAATAAAAGCAGACTGCCACATCTTTCTCCCACAGAGCAGCTGGCGAGTTCCAACCACGGACCTCTCAGCAGCTGAGCCCTTAACCACTGTACCACTAGGGCTCCAAGGACTAGAAAGGGTTCCGAAATAAAATACTACTTAAAATAAGATTTAAGAATGTAAAGATGTGGGGTGAGGATGTCCCTTCAGGCTAAAGTAACAATGTTTGGAAAGGTATTGTGTGGCTGGGGCGGGTTGGGGAGTGGGGGGTGGAGATGTTGTGGGGGTGGGAATTAGAGTAGATTGGGAGACAAGAGTCTGGTAGGTTATGTTGGAAATGGTTGTCTCCATATCTTTATGCTAACAATAGTGAACTTTTGATAGAATCCCTCTGGCAAGAGCATGGGGAAAATAATTTATTTGGAAGGGGTCAAGAAAGAAGGAATGGGGGAAAATCTTCCACGTGAAAGATGATGGGTGTAGTGGTGATCAGGGCTCACCCGAAAGCAGAACCTACTTTCTCCCACTTTTTCCATTTGTGTTCCTACTTCCTGTCTTTTCACCCATTTTCCAAGTGCCCTTCTATTTACCTGTCACTGCTTCCTTGCCTTCTGTGAGACTGGGCATTAAGGTGATTCCCAGAGAAGGGTCGCCCTGCTGGAGAATTTGTTACTGTCTTTGGTGTCCTAGACCTTAGCTGTGTTAAAGCAGGTGGTGTGTGTGGTGGCTCGGACATCATAGGGGAATGACTGATTGGGATCTTTCCCCAGTGGAACTCCACAGAGAATCCAGGGGAAGAGTACGTGACTCTCAAATCTGAAGCAGTGTCAGCAGAAACTGAAGAACAGCAGCGGGCTACTAATGAACCAAGCACCTCAGCTTTACCAAAAATCTCGTCTAAGGTGACCAAAGGAAAAAGAACTATTAAAGAAGAAAAAGGTAAGAGGTCCGGAAGTCCAAGTCCCACTTCATGAGGTCTAAGAAGCCCGGATAAAGTAGGGAAGAAATTTCCCCACCCTCTACTGTCTTTTCAAATTCTACACTTCCTTCGAATCCCAGTTGAAATCTTATCTCCCTGAAGCCTTCTTTTTGTCACCTCTGCTATAAACTCCCACAGTATCTTTGGTTCTGATCACCATTTTACCTTCACATGCTGCTTGGGGCCGTCAAGTCGATTCCAACTCATAGTGACCCTTGGAGTTAAAGATCCCAATATAAAGTGTGCTACAATGAGCTGGGGATACACAGTTGGAAGTTTGGAATTCCATCCCTGAAACTCCACTTTTTGTTCTAAAAAGTGAGTGTAATACCTACCTTGCAGCATTGGGAGTGGAGGTGGAGCGGAGAGGCAATTGTGACTGACATGAAATCGTTAGGTAAAGCACCTACTGTATGCCGGACAAGTAACGTGCACTCAGTAAACTCTAGTGACTGTGAGTGTCATGCTTTGCATCTGTCCTGGATGCTTGGAACATGGAGGTGTGCTCACTATTTGCTGAGCAATGAGCGTTTGTGTGTGAGGCGCAGCAGCATGGCTGCGGACAGAGATGAACTGAAGCAGCTAGAGACAGGCGTGCCGCTGAAGCTGCTGGGCCCGGTTGGGAGAATCCTGAGTGTTAGGGGTTGTATAGTATTGTTGGGTTGTTTATTTTGTTTTGTGGATAAGGACAAGACTGAGTATTACGCTCAAGTCAGTCTTCCACCATTCCCCTGGGACTAAAATAACTACTTTGCTGGGCAATCTCTAGTACAACCACCCAGATTCTGTGGGTTGAGGGACTCACAAAGGAGCGGGTGTATGTGAGTAGCGGGGCATTTTAGGAAGCAAAAACTCTGGGATTTAGCAGAATTGAGTCACAGGTTTGAGGATCTTTTCCCCCATGGAGGCTATGTGGTCTCTGGTGAGCAATTTAATTGTACAGTGGGGATCACGGTGACATTTCCCTTGTTGAATTATGAGAACTAAAAGTACTCTTTTGAAAGTCTAAAGGGGTACATAAAAGTTAATTATTATTAATTTTATCTCATTCTTTCTCAGCTTCCTGTTCACAAGAGAAAGCAAAAAGCAACAACCAAAAACCTCGGAAGAAGATTCCAATTCCTCCGTTACCGTCTAAACTGCCGCCGGTTAACCTGGTCCACAGGGACATCGTGCGGGCCTGGTGCCATCAGCTAAAGCTGAGCACCAAGGGCCAGGTGAGGCCCCGGCGGGAGACGCGCTGTGGAACGCTTCTCTCTACATCTTATTTCCAGCCAAACTGAAGCCTGATAAACTTTCATTATTAACCCCTTTTTCTCTTGTCGTAGAAATTAGAGGCATATAAGCGACTCTGTGAATATGCTTACCCAAATCAAAAGGTGAGTAGCTTGTAGGAAATTTGGCAGAATGGAAGGCTTAGTCCTTATCCTGACTTAACCATTTTGGCATTGAAAGTGAGTAGAGAAACTGTCTTTTAGCAGCTCAAGTTCCTGGACCTCTCCCAAAGCCCCACTTTCCATCAACTCTGTGCAAAGAGTAATAAAAATGAGGCCAGACTTCTGATGGCACTTTAATAATATATTTAACATAATATATAAGTGTATGTTTATATATTGGTATTTGAGGAGCCCTGGTGGCACAACAGCTAACTGCTGGCTGATAACTGAAACGTTGGAGATTGGAACCTACCCAGCTGCTCCATGGGAGAAAGACCTATCTGCTCCCATAAAGACTGCAGCCTAGAAAAACCTGGAGCAGTTCTACTCTGTCACATGGGGTCACTAGGAGTCAAAATTGACTCAACAGCACCCAGTAACATAGTATATATATGTATGTTAGTATATTTACTAATATACGAATATAATTTAATAATTATATAATTAATAATATTCTGTTTGCAGAATATTCCTGCCACAGCAAAGGAAGCCAAGATCCAGACACCGTTAAAAAGAAAATCAAATGTGGACAAGGGGAAAACACCTCTGGAGAGTTCTGAGAAAAAGAAGATGTGTTCTGAGGAGACCGATCCTCCTGAAGTGGCTTCTCCCCGTGAGGAGGGGGCACCTGCCCTTGAATCTACTCTCCTGGAGGGGGTTAATACAGTCGTGGTGACAACTTCAGCCCAGGAGTCTGTGCTGGCCTCCTGGACAAGAATTGCAGGCAGGGCTAGGAAGATGGAGGCAGTGGAATCACCACAAGAGGCCTACGGTAAGCCCAACAGTAAGATCTTGGTTCGGGTCCAGATGAAGAAATAGGCTTAATTTTTTTAAATCGTGATTTAGGTGAAAATTTACAAAGCAAATTCATTTCTCATTCAAATATTTACGCACATACTGTTTCATGGCATTGGCTGCAATCCCGCATTGTGGCAACACTCTCCCGCTTTCCCTTTCCACCCTGGGTTCACTGTGTCCATTCAACCAGTTTTCCTGTCCCCTCCATCCTGCCTTCTTGGTTTTGTTCCTGCACAGGTGTTGCCCATTTAATCTCGTATACTTGATTGATCTAAGAAGCACGTTTGTCAGGTGTGTTATTGTTTGTTTGATAGACCTGTCTAATCTTTGGCTGAAAGGTGAACTTTATGAGTGGCTTCAGTTCTGAGTTAGAAGGGTATCCAGGGGCCATAGTCTCAGGGGTTCCTTCAATCTCTGTCAGACCAGTCAATCTGTTCAGAAATAAGCCTAATTGACATTTGCCTCTTACAAACATTGTTGGTTGCCATCGAGTCGGCTGACTCATGGACACCTTTTGTATAACAGCACAAAATGTTGCCGAGTACTGCACCATCTTCATGATCCATGGTTTGAGTCTGTTGTTGCAGCTGTTGTGGCAGTCTATCTCTCTGAGGGTTTCCTTCGTTTTTGACCTTTCCTGGCAACTGGTCTTTCCTGATGATGTGTCCAAAATAAGTAAATCAAAGGCTCTCCATCGTCACTTCCAAGGAACATTCTGGTTGTATTTTTTTAAGACTAATTTGTTCATTCTTTTGGCATTCCGTGGTATTATTCGGTATTCTTTGCCAATACCACAGTTCAAAACCTCATGAATCACAACAGAATAGGTCTAGGGTGGGGCCAGAGAATTTGCATTTCTAGAAATTTGATGAAATGCTGGTCTGGGGACCACACTTTTAAGAACCACTGAAGTAAATTATTGACGTCATCAGAAGAGACTAGGAATCTATACAGCCTCATTACTTGCTCCTTCTTTAAGGAATTAAAGGCAAGTCTTAAAATCAACTGATGGGATTTGAGCCCTGAATCTTCTAGCATCTGCTAGGTGAGTGACATTAACAGTTTGCTTAAGTTAGTCCTCCATTTACCCACTATAAAATGGCTTGATAATAATAATATTTATCACATATGTTGTTACAAGAATTGTAGGAAATAAGGAAGAACATGAACTGCTTAGAACAATGCACTGCCTGTTAGAGTACAAACCCCTGGCCCTGTTTCCTGACAATCTTCTGAGCTCACTCTAGGTTAGCCTTTCTACCATTTGCCCACTTGTAGCTATACAACTTCCAACTAGATTTCTTTTTAGTTTTTAAGTTTTGACAGAGACTGTTCTGCATACTTATAATAGGAATAGAGTAGAGGTTAAGTTAGGATTTCAGGGTTCAAATCTTGGAGCTGGCACTTGAGAAAAATCATACAGTTAAAGGTGACTGGCTATGAGGCAATGTCAAACAGTAGTGTTTGGTGGCAATGTCAAACAGTAGTGTTTGGTTCCAATGTGCTCATACTTGCCCCTCTTTCTTTCCCCAGGTGTCAGGTGGTGTGTGGTACATGGGAGAAGTCTCCCTGCAAACACGGATGGTTGGGTTCAGCTGCAGTTTCATGCTGGACAAGTCTGGGTCCCTGAAAAGCCAGGGAGAGTGAGTGCTCTCTTCCTGTTACCTGCTTGCAATTTTCCACCTCCACACCTGGAGGACAATATGTTGTGCCCTAAATGTGTTCAGAGGTAATTACCTGGTGCTTTTCTGCATACTAAAAGTGGGCATCTGATTGTATCAGTTGGAGGACAAAGGGATACACATTCATCTTAATTAGCCTTGTATATCAAGCACAGGCTGTCAGGAAAAAGTTTCAAGAAAATCATCACACAGGCAAGTTTATCCCTAGGAAAAAGAGCATTCGTGTGTTTTATGTTGGGGCTTAATGCCTTTAGCCGGAAACACGGAATTCTGGAGAAAGAAACATTGTGTACTTACTATATCCCTAGTATATGCACTCCACAGAAATAATGGAGTAACCGACAGTCTAATGGAGTGACTGGCATGTAAACAGCTGCTGTACCATGTGATGACTGGTGATAAAATAGGCTATGCAGAAGAGCTTGAAAGATTACAAAGAGAGCACTTAACTCTGATTCTTTGCATGAGGTTGGTCCAGGAAACCTCAAAGAAAAGGTCTCTTAAACCCAGGGAAGAATTGACTAAACAGAAAGGAAGGAAAGGAATAAGGTCATTTTGCAGTACCGGGAACAGCACCACGGCAATGAAAGTACTAGGGACCAAGTGGTTCAGTGAGACAGAATGGTTGTATATGGTAGAAAATAAGCCTTGGTTTTCTCATTAATAAAATGGGCATAAACATACCTACCTGGAGCTATTGTGCAAATGCAGTGAGCTGACTTATGTAAGTTCTTAGCACTGTGTCTGACACATAGTAAGCATTCAAAAACAATTTGTGAGATTAGTTTGAAATATACAACATATGCAAAAAACATAACTTTTGCTCAAGTTGAGCATTATGGGATTTAACTGGGGTTGTTTGGTGTCAAATTGCAGTAAATTTTGAATGTGGGAAGTTTAGACCTTAACCAGTAGCTAATGGTATTCTTTTGAAATGTTTTTATTAGTTAGGGTGATGTGATCAACAAAGAATCTTTGTATTCATCAAATAACCAACTTTAGAAACACAATTATGAGCAGAACAGAAGGAAGGCTACAAAAGGCTTTTCTCTATGTTAAGTTCCAAGCCCAATTGAAATCCACATTAATAAAAGGGTTGACTGGAGAACAGCCCTGGGGGAGGGGTCTGGTAAACTTGCTGTTGTCTGCATAAACTATACTAGCTTAATTAATTGATTACTATTTTTAAATAAGAACAGACAATATTTTAAAATGTGCCACCAAAATGAACAGTCTGGGGAGTAGGGGAAGGGATACTGTTTTGAAGGAGCAGCTTTGGATGAAACGAGCGGTCCTGGACCACTGCCCTGTCCCAGCCACCATCTCAGGAACTTTGCACATGCCCATAACTTTTCCAGGCCTCAGTTTCCATGTCTATAATATAAGGAGCAGACTGGACAAGGAAGTATGTAAAAGTCATAGCTTTAAGATTAAGAAAACACCAAGAATTTTATATGTCTATAAAGGACTTTTTAGTTTGTTCCAAAGACCATTGTAGTTCTATAGAGAACTTACTGAGAAAACTTCTGTGCACTTTTTTAAAAAAAATGAAATGCACATATGCGCATATGCAAAGTTTTGCAAGGAGTCTGAAATCAGGCCACCCATTATTCCTGTGTTAAGAAAAACCCGGGCTATAGGTGATGGGCCATTGAAGGATTTTAGGCAAGGAAATGGATTGGGTAGAACTGCAGAGAAGAGTGGAGGGCATTAGATTGATGGGAAAGTTCTTGTGGGGAAGTGTTTTGCATCGGTTTAAAGTGCTTGGTGCCTTCTGGAGGTGCTAGAAGAGAAATATAGCTTTTGATGATCATTTTAACATTTATGTGAATAATAGTCCTTAAGAACAGTAGGACTGGGGCTGGGGAAAGAACCTTAAGGAACAGCAACATTACAGAAGCAAGTAGGCAAAGGAGACAGAACCAGAACAGTTAAGGAGAGAAACCTGGAATTATGAAGTCGATTAGGAGAATTTATATCGAAAAATTGTATTAGGTAGTATCAAATAAAGCTGAAGAAAGTATATTATGAATAATATACTTGCTTGGGTGATAGATTGAAAGCAGTGAAAACCCAAACCCACTGCCTTTGAGTGAATTCCAACTCATAGCAACCCTATAGGACAGAGCAGAACTGCCCCATAGGGTTTCCAAGGCTGTCATCTCTACAGTTTCCAAGGCTGTAAATCTTTATGGAAGCAGATTGCCACGTTTCTCTAGCAGAGAGGCTGGTGGGCTGCTGGATTTGAAGCGCCGACCTATTGGTTAGCAGCTGAGCATTTTAAGCACTGTGCCACACAGGCTCCTTCAAAGCAGTGAATGATGCAGAAAGTTTGATGTTGATTTAGTAAGGAGAGGGGAGAAGTGAGAGATTGTAGATGGGGGTATTTTCTAAAAGCTCAAATGGAAAGGTTAGGTGGAACAGTAGGATGGGTAAAGGCAATTTTCATATGACAAATGGTAGCCCAAGGCTTCTAAGTGTAGCTTGTGAGAGCGGGTCATGGAAAGAGGGAGGATGGAAAGAAGATAACTTCTCTGCAGAGGAGGGGTCTGTGGTACAGCCCAGGCTTACCCCCATCTCCTTACCCTTGAGCTGCCCCGGGATGACACTGGGCTTTGTCCCAAACTGCCCATTAGCCTGCTGGGGCCCACTTGGAGCCTCCTGATTACTGAGCACCAGAAGTCTCGGGAAGCCTGGGAGAACACAGCCCTCAGGCTAGACACACACTCCACCAGCCTCTGGAGGGAGTAGCAGCCCTTGGGCCCTGGCACAGTTACCATTTTCCACAGGAGGAAGTGTGGAGGGGGCTTGGCTTTTTACTCTCTGTGGCTGTCCTGCTTCCTTTGCAGTTCTCTAGATAGTCTCTATACCAAGTTGAGTAGAACTGAGGTGACTTTGAATAACAGCCCTTTAAAAACTTACTCAGAAGGTCTACTCGAGCCTCTCCGGCCCAAGCCCCACGTTGGAGGGGCAGGAACATGTTACAGAAACATGATAATTTAGCTAATCTTCAGTCCTTGACCACAAGCTTCCCTCCCACCATCTTCAGGTTTTAGGGCAATTTCATTGGCATTCCAGTAATTGTTTTATTGGCTGTTTTCAAGGATGCAACTTGATAATTCTTTTTTTTTTTTTTTAATTTTATTTTGTTGTTGTTTGATATTTCTTCTTGACTCTCACCTTTTTAAAAAGTCAATCATTTCATTTGCTTTATAGGAACAAGGTGTTAATGAAAAGCCTCCAATGAGATTAGAATAACTGGGAAAGGGGCACTTCCATGATTGAGATTAATAATGGAAAGTTTACCACAATGGACTCCATGGCGCCACCTACAGCTGAGTTTCCTTCCACATTCCCCGTGTGCCTGCTGACAGCGTGCATAGACTGGCAGGCTGCAGGTGTTACTCTTTCCAATCTGGACCCTCCCTCCATCCCCCCAGCTTTGCTTGCTGCTTACTGGGTAGGGGATACAGAAGACAGTGGTGTTTAAAACTGGAAAAACTTTTCACAAAGTACCATTCATTCCAGCTAATAAAATGAAAAAACAGTCCATACTACCAAAGTTTTCTTGCCCCTCTGAAGTATAAATGACTTCGGCAGTGCTTTTAAGTGGGAAGCTCTTGAGCTGAGATTTGTGAAGGAATTGAATGAAGAGATAAGATCACTGAAGTGTCCTTCTGTGCTGGATTGTCCTAGAATACTGACCGCCTTTAGGAGCTGCTCCTTTTTAATTCTAAGTTTAGTGACTTCTAACTGTTGAATATTTAAGCCAAAGGAAAAGCAGTTATTCTCTCCCCCACAAAATATGATCCTTAGTATAGAAAACATTTTTCTGAGATTTCTATGATTTGGCACCGGGATCCAGACAGTGCCCTTCCCTCCCCAGTGTTGTTTTCAGTTGTAGCTGTTTTGAATGTTTCTGCGTTTGAAACATTTAAGGTACTCCCCAATCATAAACGCAATATACTGAATTTAAATTGTATGTGTAAAATAACCCAGCCATTGTATTTATGGGGCCATATTACATGTGAATTAGTAAATTAGATAATGTTCTTGATTCATTAGGATTAAATCCAAAAAGCATGGATTTTTTTTTTTTTTTTGCAGTCATTTTTTATGGACTTTCTAAATTTGTAGCCCTGTGAGTCCTGGAAAAGATATGTGATAGCCCAGCAAGGGTTGTTGTTGTTAGGTGCCTTTGAGTCAGTTCTGACTTATAGAGACGCTCTGTACAGCAGAATGAACCCTGCCTGGTCATTCACTGACCTCACAACTGTTGTTTGAGCCCATCTCGTCATCGAGGATACCCCACCATTTATCTACTTAACTAAGCTGTCACAAGGGACACATTACTAAACTTATTTTATATTGGATTTTTCCTTTCTCATTTGTGGTAAGATTAGCAAATATTTTTCTTTGATTTTTTTCAGTATAAATTGTAATAATAGTTAATACTCAATGCTTACAATATGCCAGGTACTATTCTAAGAAATGTATATAGAGACTTCCTTTCACCCAATCAATGGGGTCAGTATTACTATCACCCTATTTTGTAAATGAAGAAATTGAGGAGAGCCTGAATTTGGACCTCAGAGATCCAGCTCCAGAGTGCATGTTCTCTGCCATTGTCCTTCGCTCATGGTTGCTGGGTTTTGTATGATTCTTAGAAAGGCCTTTCTTAATCCCATATTATATTAAAAAAGAAAAAGGTTTCCCATGATTACCTCTATTTTTATGATTTTATTTTTCCCCTACATCTTGGATCCATCTGGAATTTATTTTTGTTCAGTATATGTGAATAAAATCCAACTTTATTTTTAGAGAGTAACCCACTTGTCCCAAATTATTGACTTTTCCTTCCCCTCATCGATTTAAAATTCCATCTTTATCAAATAATAAATTGTTATTTGCATTGAGTCCTATTTATCATTTTGTTTCGTATGTGTTTCTTCTAAAGAACAGAGCTATATTTTTTTTAATATATTTAACAATATGACTAATTGTCTTCTAAAAATAGAATTCAGCCAATTTCCCTTCAGTGTAATAACATATTTTTCCTTTTATCTTACTTTACATATATGATTAATTTTTAATTTTGTTGTTTCTTTTTTTACCCCATATTTTCATAGGATTGGTCAAGTTTCTATTCCATTTACTTCCCCCTTTATTTTGCAGATTTTACTTTGCATTTCTATTTTGCCTATACAAGATGCCCTGTTTCTAACACACTTAAATTTAAATTTCTCTCTACAAAATAATTGTATTCCACCACTAAAAGCATCAGTTGACTCCTTCCTACCCTCATAAGATGAAACCTCAAAGTTACATCTACACATCAACTCTTCCTAATCTCCACACCCCTCCTCCAAAATGCCTGTAAAATATGGGCTGCCCTACTCTCCCCCACTCAATGTCTCTTTCCCATTCTCCCAGAATACTATTAAAAGGAAGAGAGACAATCAGTAGGAGCTGTATCTGTGCCCCAGATAAGTGTCGTGGCAAAGGGACCACATGGAAGTATTTCCTTGATTGGAAAGAGCCAAGAGAAGGAACTTGTACTCCAATTTTCCATCTGGAAATTAAAGTAACAGCCAGACCTGTGTTTGTGTGTGTGTGTGTGTGTGTTCATGTGTGCAAAAGGTGTGAGATGCAATAGGTTTGAGAAATCTGGAGCTGGAATTCCAAATTTCCCTCAGCTCCAAAGGGAAGTGGAAAACTCCCAGGGTTGGGGAGGGGGTGGCAGGGTGCTGAAGTAACTGAGCTCAAGTCAGCACCTACCAAGAGATTACCTGGCTGAGGCAAATGGAGCTGCGTGAAGAAAGCCTGGTACTTAGGACATAAAAGTGGAAACAGCTATAACTCACTACATTGGAATAAATTTACCCAAAAGTGCCCCAAATTTCTACATTCTGGCAAGATTTAGCTATAATACAGTATAGCTAAGGTTTGGTTATGCCCCCCTTAACCAAGTTATTCAAACTTGGCACCACCAGAAATGCTAACGACAACGGAAGTACACAACATCACAGTCTTGCCAACAGATTAAACCTGAATCACATGAAGAAGCAATCAGTTCTGATTATGACTGTTGTCTCAGCATAGTTATTAACTGAACCTAGGTTGTTTTGGGAGGTGGTTACGTGGGCTTATCCATGCATAAACTCCACAGCTATGCACTAATGAGTCACATTTCATCATGTAAAGTATATATCATTGCTGTTTTAAGTGATAAATTATAGTTACTCTAGTTTAATACTTTTTGAGGAAATTTGAATATAGAGTAAATATTAGATAATATACCAATGTTAAATTTACTGATTGTGATAATTTGTGTGTCTGAATAATCCAAAAAAAAAAACCCGTTGCCGCCCAGTCAATTCCAACTTCTAGTGACCCTGTGCCGTAGTGGTTAAGAGCTACGGCTGCTAACCAAAAGGTGGGCAGTTTGAATCCACCAGCCTCTCCTTGGAAGCCCTATGGGGCAGTTCTACTCTGTCCTATAGGGTCGCTATGAGTCTGAATCAACTCGATGGCAAGGGTTTTTTTAATGGGTTAGCGACCCTGTAAGTCAGAGTATAACTGCCCCATAGGGTTTCCAAAGAGCAGCTGGTGGATTCAAACTGCCCACCTTTTGGTTAGCAGCGAGCTCTTAATCACTGTACCATCAGGGCTCCTCATCAATCATTAGAGAAAGGTAAATCAAACTCACAAGGAGATATAATTTCACACCCATAGGCATTTTGAGGGAGAGGAAGACTGACAGTAAAAGGGTAACACAGACGATAACAAATTTATGTTAGAGGAGATAAAATGTTATGGAAAAATGTAAGTAGACAGGGTAAGGGAGATACGGATTACTAGTAAGTGTTGAGGAACAGCTTGTGATTTTAAATAGGGGGCAAGAGTATGCCCCTATGCAAAGGTGAGGCTTAAAATTATGGACGTTTACCATATTGACATCTGGGGAAGGAGCATTCCAGCCAAGGAAGAGGCCCTGAAGTAGTGCTCCTACTTAGATTATCAAGGCTGGATGGGAAGGAGAGGATGAGGTCAGAAAGATAAGCGGGGGTGTGGGTAGGAAACAGATTAGGTAAAGCCTTGGGGGTACCACAGGGACTGGTTTTTTCTTGAAGAAACTGGGATCATTGGAGGACTTTAAGCATAGCCTCATGATCTTAATTACATTTCAAAAGGTTCTTTTCATATAGACAATTGAAAGTTTTTCCCAATTCTTTATTTTAAATGTGGTCCTGGTGGTGAAGTTGTTAAGAGCTCACCTGCTAACCACAAGGTCAGCAGCTTGAATCCACCAGCCACTTCTCGGAAACCCAATGGGGCAGTTCTACTCTGTCCTGTAGGGTCGCTATGAGTCGGAATCAACTTGATGGCAACGGGTATTTTAAAAATTCCAAACCTAAAATTTGGTACCTAAACACCTGTATATTCTTTGCCCTCATTAACCAGTTAACATTTTTGTAATATTTGTGTGTGTGTATGTATATATACATATATATCCTCCAATGGATCCCAGTTTATATATATATATAGAGACAGAGAGAGAGAGCCTTGGTAGCGCAGTGGTTAGCAGCCAAGCTGTTAACCAAAAGGTTGGCAGTTCAAAAGCACCAGCTGCTGTTTGGAAACCCTGAGACCCACAGCCCACCTGCCATTTTGAATAAGCAAGGGACTACGCCTGCTATCTTCTGTAATATAGGAATTAACTTCCTGCGCCTCAGCTACCTCAGTATTAGGTAATATTAAGAACTAACTCCCTGTCTTTAAGCTGTCTCCTTATTTAGGTATGCTTCCTGTTTGCAGCCAGCTTGAGAAGAACAAGAGACTGGGGTCTCAGGACCTGCTGAAGCTGGCAAGAACTAGATCTGGCACACCTGACACGTGCAGAACCATCTGGCAAGAACTAGATCTGGCACACCTGACACGTGCAGAACCATCGACCCCGTCCTCTGGAACACCCCGGAACTCTTCTCCCACTGGGTGGAACCAAATTTTAGTGGCCCAAGATTGAGGGAAGGCTTTCAGAAGCAAGGAGTCTAAGCCTAAGATCTGGTTGGAGAGACCCTCCCCCCTTTTTTAGACTGAGCGAGGGCAGAAAAGCCAGACTGCCCCAGAAATGCCTTTTCAGGCCAGACCAATTAGCAAGCTGGCCCCACCTCAAGATGTTACTGAAGACCCCAGACCCGATTTACTTGGTGACACAAGTCTCAGTGGGTTAATTTGCTTGGCCAA